CGCATAGCCCATAAAATTCATCCACGTCTAAAAACACCATCCCACACTCACATATATATAAACTAATTGCTAAACTAATTTCCTGTAGGGACACATATTTTTGTGAGCGTATGTATTATATAAGCAATACAGATTTGTGACTTGTGAGTGCGAAAATATATAGAATATAAGGGGGTACCATCAGTTGAAGCACGAACGATTCCGGCATGATGAGCGCTATAATCTTTGAAGATCTCATCTACAGTTAGAAGATTTGAAGAAAATGAAGCAATTTCTGTATCCAAAATTATGAGATCTACAATTTATTGAGTAATTAATGATAATTTACCTACGAAGATTCAAAGAAGGCCGCCTGGAGTGGAGGAGAACGGAGGCACGATTGTGTGAGATGAGGTGAGGCTGAGGGTGGTTGTGTGGTTGGTGGGCGTGGTGGCTGTTGGTGGTTTTGTCCGGTGGGTGTAGTGTCGGAAGGTAGAGGTGGTGGGTTGGAGAGGAATGAACAGAGACGCGAGTTGGAGAGGAACGGAGGGAGACGTGAATAAATATAGGGATTGGGTTAATTTGGGTTGCGTATATTTAAAAAAAAAAAAACAAAAGTTTTCGCAACGTTTATCAAACGTTGCAAAGTCTCACCTTTAAACATTGAGAAAAGTCTCACATTTTGCAACGTTTGATAAACGTTGCTAAAGATGACTTTTAGCAACGTTTGGTGAACGTTGCAAAAAGTCTTACCTTTCGCAACGTTTGATAAACGTTGCGAAAGATAAAACTTTCTGCAACACTCAATAAATGTTGTTAAAGGTGTTTACTGCAATATTTTTCTTAAAAACGTTGCTAAAACTCATTTATTAATACCAATGTCAACATTCACTAACTAAAATGTTGCCAAAAGACCCTTTGGCAACATTTGTTGACAAATGTTGTATTTTTAGTGTTGCAAATGACTATTTTTGTTGTAGTGCTGCCATGGCAAAACTTCCGAGATGCTTGCCCCTTTAAGATAAATCTGATTTACCTGACGTATCTATAGTGTATCCTTCCTTTGATGAATGTTCCAAAGGGATTT